CAAGTCCATAAAGTGTCTTTTGGCAATCTGAAGATTTCTGCATGAGATTTGTAATGTCTACTCTGAATTTAGCCTGCCTTTCTATATGTCATAGGTCATCCTTTTCACCAAGCTAGCCATATATGAAATACAATTCCTTATATTTTGCTAAATTGTTTCTTCCAGAAAGCTGTACCGTCTTGGCTAGTACAGTTTGATCTTCTGTTAAGTTACCATTATTATTAAACTCTGTGCCTAAACTCCCATTTGAATTTGTCTGTCTCATTGATTTTTCTTCTGCCTTCCTTTAGATAAATGTCCAGTGTTTTCTGCCCCTTTGAGGTATTTATACACTTCAATCATTATTTTTCAATCTTCTTTTTGATAAACTAAGCAGTTTGAGTTCTTAAAATCTTTTACTTTAAGAAAATTTCCCTAACTCTCAGATCATGGTTTAGTGGCTTTGTTCAGTACCTTTGCTAATGCTTTAATGTCCTTTTAAAACTTAGACATGGAATTGATGCAATGTCCCAGAACTGGTCCCATTAATATCACATAAAATAATAAGTAACTTTCATGCTTCTACTTTTTTAATCTTTCCACGCCACTGGATAACACAGTAGTGCAATGAGAAATTTACCACAACAGTGCTGAGTGTTCAGTCACGAATTCTGAATCCTTCTTCAGACTCAACTGCTTTCACCAACTCTGCCCACATTCCCAATTCATATATCTCTTAATATCCTTCCTCCATCTGTTTTAAACTCTTCTGCTTAAATGGATTGAACTTAAGAAATGGGTTATTTTCTCGCCCTCATCAATATTTATACCTCTGTCAATTTTTTTTGCAATTCTTAGTTTTAAACCATCAGTGATTTTGTATTTTCTTTCCAGATCATAGATGGCAGAGCTGAACACCATTCTTACTATAACTCCCTACAGCAGCTTTTTGTCTAGAGTTTAGGATGTTGGGTCCTAATCTAGAGAAGTTGCATTTTGGCTGTGCCAGGCTGCTTCTTACTCTCTGACATTTATATCCCACTGTAAATGTCTTTAGGTTGACCTAACAGTTTCTGACTCAAACATGACTTTTGATAGGTCATGCACTGTCACAGACCTGTGATTCAGGAGGTTTTCCTATCTCAGTCCATGAAATTCCAACTTGACAGTCTTCAAGGCATGATGCAAAGCTCACTTCTCCTCAGATTTTAGGTGAACACTGATTTAACAGACAGAACAGACCAAAGACAGGAGTAATTATAGTCCTGGTGATTCTAATTTTCTGCTCATGCTTGGTTTTGTATAACAGCTTATTTGGAACAAAAATTCTTACCCTAACTTTTGATCGTGTAAATTCAGCCAGTCACAAATGATTTTTTGAATACATCGTTTGACAACATTTTCCATTTTTTTCTTGATTTTTGTCCACTACTTTAGTTAACAAATTTCTTTTTAATTGTTTGGCAAGGCTTAATTTACATTGTAAAGATGTTCAGGACCATTCAGGAAAGTGAAATAAAGTATTGCTTTAAGTCTGAAATTGCAAAATAGTTTAAATCTTTGTAACTGTTAGTAATATTTACCAATAGCCCACAGGAACAACACAGAATCACTACCAGGGCTAGCATTCTTGTTGGTAACTTTTCCTGGTAAAATATGAATAGACCAGAGGACTGGGAGGTTATAATCTCTCTCCAATAAAAGTCTTCAGCAATGGGAAGCCTTCACTGCCTTTACCTGTGAACAAAAATGTACAGTTTCCCTTCTCGGTAATTTAAAGTTGCGTAATAACTTTATGCTAATCACAAGTCTATTGTAGCTTACTTTTGAATGCACCACAGGATAAAACTTTTGCTGATATTAAATTCTTATAATTCTGCCTGTAAGAAAATGCATGCACAAATTCTTTAAAGAAATGCAACAAGTCAGACAGAGTAAATTCCCTCTAGAATTGCACAAAGCCATTCCTGGAATTATGAAATAGTTGTGTATCGAGGAGGAAGCTATGTACATTAACAGTAAAAGGAGCTAAATTCCTACTTCATGAAAGGAGTGTAACTTTCTCTAACCACTTAGCCAGAGGCTTATTTTTCAGAGGCAATGTACAATAAAACTGAAGTCTCCTTACCACACAATTTTTATGTTAATTTGTAAACAGAAACCCCATATTTTGCCAGGTAAGCCTTCCTAAAATCCACTGCCTTACTCAGGTTTTACTATATTACCAAACCTTGGTCCTTTTTAACTAGAAGAGTATTCCATAAGTCAGCTCGGAGAGATGAAAGTATTATTTGTCCAGCAGTATTCTTGAAATACATGTTTTCGATTAAAGGTAATTTGAAAGGGCAGAATTCTGCAGTGCTCAACCAGCTTTTACTCAGTAACACACCAAGCTGAGAAAAAGGGAAAACACTCCTTGAAGAACTATTTAGTTACAAATTACAGCTGATTTCTAAAATAAATCTTGCTTATACATAATGTATTAATTATGCCGAATATATTGTTTTCAGAAGCAGGCACTAAAATTATTCAAGATATTCTGAGACTTTTAACTGGCTAATGAAAGCGAATGTTAATAATGGTATCATACAAAAAGGTAAATGCCACTTTGAGAAAATCCATAGTCACAGAAATTACTATTTTTCCTTTTCACCATTAGTTACCTTAATTTCAAAATACTCTGTTCCATGGCAGCCTTTAAAAACAACAACTACAAGTACAACAAAAAAAGGTTTAGAAATAGTTCAGAGAAGACTAAAAAGGACAAACAAACAAATTCTCTCTTCAGAGAAAGTGATCAATATTGAAGCTAGCAGTGGGCCTTTCTATATTTGCGTTCTGGAGAATTTATTTATATCCAGAATAAAAATATAGGATATATATATATTGTGTAGTGTAAGAATTCTATATACCCTATAGAATAGAAATGTAACTTTCTTATACAAAAGTATAAGAAAGAAATCTAAGTGTTTTTTTCATATATATATGTATGTACATACACAGTATCTTGATTCTCCTGCATGCAAATAGATAAAATCCAGCAAAGTGTAAAGGGACACTCATATTTTATTTGTATGATGTTTTCAGAAATATAGATGACTATGAGTTGCAATAATGTGATAAATTAGATGCATTCAGAGTGATTGATAATGAAAATTATGTCAGAGGCCAACAGGATAATTTCAAATTGAACTAGAAAAAGAATATGTTAAGTACTTACTTTCTCAGAAAGGGAAATACATTCTCCAGCTATGGGAAGAAATGAAAAAAAAGGTTAGCTACTGAAGGAGATTAAAGAAACATTTTTACTGAAAGATAATACTGAAAGAGATACCAAAGTATTCAGAACAATTCACAAATATCCAACAATTTAGAAATTTATGAACAATCTAGAAAGATGCGAATCAAATTACACATAGAATAGAATAAGCACTAGATAAGCAAATAAGCAGAAGGATTAATTTTTAACTCTCTGATTTCAGTTAATATTACAATTAAAAGACTTAAGTGCCAGTTTAAATTAAAATATGAGTAAACCACAGCATTCTAGAGCTTTCTATGTTCATATTTTATGTGAGTCCAAATTTGTAACACTCAAGACTTAATATGAAATAATTTTTGATTTAAGATATTAAATCCAAATTTCAAATTTGAAGACAGATTCTTTAGTAAACTTTCTAAATGGAAGTTGCCATAAAACTGTAACTTTTCATGTCCTGAGTAACATAGTTTTGGGAGGAAAAAAATGACGTTCCCAGTCTGCACTTAACTTGACATCTGCATACATACATACCTGTATGGAATTTTTCCATTTTGGAACTCCATCCATTGTTAACAAGCAAAGTTGAGCATAGATTTTTTATGAGTTAGAAAATTCCTAACAGTTTTACATTATGCTCTGTGTTTACTTCTAAACAAAGGCATATTTAAGCACTTCTAAAAGAGTGAATTGACATTAATAGGAGACAATGAAGTGGGTAAGAGATTCACATCCTTCTGCAACAGATTTTTAACTAGAAGTCAGCACAAACAGGAAAAGCTCTTTATCTTTTTTGAGACTCCATAAGCCACAAATGGTTTTAGTTGCACTGTGTATCACAATGTTACTCACAATTTTATTTTTGTATATATTTACTGACTGTGTTGTTTTTTCAATGTGTTGGTCAGCACTTGAGTAAGAGTTCCACGACAATGAAGACCTTTTCTTTGGATCCACATGGCTGATTGCAGTGCTGAAACTTTTCTCTCTTGGCTTGTGCAGAGCACACTTTAGAATGTCAGTGGGAGTTCTGCATACATATGGAGAGGAGGCTATAGGAGATGACATTTGCCATGTAGCCCTGAGATGAAAATTTTGCCCTAAGATTATTCCTTCAGTAAATTGTGAGATTTTTCCACCACAACAGTCACTTTTGTTTTAACAACAAACGAACCTCTAAGACAATGTTAAAGAATACCATTTGAGACTGTTTGATATGTTGTATTATGTTTAAATATCAACATAAAACATTGGCTGAACAAAAATTGGTGGTAGTAGTACTATTCTATGAAAGATCCTTACTATTTTTTTTTCCCCTGATCAAGGCTTCTGTTACACTCACCCAGTTAAACAGACCAATCTCAGATTAGACTCCAAATTATGACATTCCACATGCACAGCTATTTGTGTAGATGACATTATTTAACTGTGATAATGGATGGATTACTGTTGACTGGCAGTGTTATTAATCTCCAGCAGTCCTGAGGAAGAAGTAACAGCAACCTATAATGATGCAGCTTAGGAAAATAAAATTTGCATATAAAATGACAGATATAAAAAGAACTTACAGTTTCCATTTCTTTGCTACAATTATTTTTGAAGCATAAACTAGCTTGAAAGGCAATGTTAGCTTTGCTATTTTCCTGTTCATACAGGAATGAACTAAGTGACTGACTGTGTAAAATTAAAGTTTCTCTAACAAAATCTCTAACAAAATGTTTTGTTCTGGTTTTTTGTTTGTTTGTTTTTTCTTGCTGTTAGCTTGGTAGCCACAAAGGAAACAGACAGTGCAAGATCTCGTAGCATGCCAATGTCGCCATCTGATTTCCTGGATAAACTAATGGGTAGGATGTCAGGCTACGATGCAAGGATCAGGCCAAATTTCAAAGGTAATTTCAAACCTAAACTTTCAGGTTTTCAGTATTTCAGTATTTCTTCTCACACAAATGCAGGTTGTGGAACAAATATGAAAATGAAGAAGCACACTCACTGAAAAAAAAGTGCCTTCTTTTGCCTTTCTTTGCTACGACAGTTCATTTCAGTAGCAATATGCTCTATTCCTGTCACTTTCACAGCTGCCCAAGACCTTTTGAAAATTTAGCTTATCACTAGATTTGAATTGTCTAATAGGGGTTGTTTTTTTTTTTTCTTTTCTGACTTGCTTGTTAATGGATTCAAATTCCCACCTTGTACTACCATAGCCTGAAGCACTCCAGAAAGCAAGTTCTGTGAAAGACAAGCCAAACCCTCATACCTGCCTGATCCTAACTAAAAGGAAGAGTGTGTTAATGACATGACCATCAGAGTCAAACTCAAGAGAGCTTATCTTAGTTACTGAATCTATTACCAAATTCTCCTGTGACATTATCTTCCTCACTCCTTTGCCCCAGTTCTGCTTTGAAATGGCAAAAGGGACCATCTTTCCTCTTGTTCCTTTCCCTATTCTCAGTTCCCTGTTGAAACTGCAGGTTCTCAATACCTGGAATTGTCTCTTGGTTCGTGCCTTTTATGCACTTATCACAAAGGACATTCAAACAAGGCAAAGGGGATTCAAAGAAGATTGGAAGTCCAAAATTTACAAATGCAATGATTACATCTTCTGAGGGTCTTAGCGCAAACCATATCATCCAGACTCAGGCATGCTAAAGTAGAGTATTTACTGAAGGATTCTACAAACTATATTATTATACAAATATACAAACTATTATACAGACAAATACCACCCCTTCTAACTTTTGCTGTCTGGGAAGTTTAAGCAAATTTGACTCTTCTTTTTTTTAGAATGCAAAGAGTTCAAATAATATAGTGGAATTATATTTAACTCTATTTCTGAATGTTTAAATGAAGTTATCAGTCTTTAAATTCTCCAGAATGTACATATTTTTTGAAAGAATAAATCTATGGTGATTAAAAATTTTATTATTCTTACTTTGCCTTAGCTACCTCCTCCTGTGTCTATCTTCTTGATCCAAGAGATTCTCTTAGCTCTAACATTTCACTGTAAGGTGGGGTTTACTCCATGTTTACTACAAAACTTTTCCTTCAGGTAGACAGGCCTTCCTCCTCTAAGTCATCTGTCACTGCCTTTCTATTTTAATTCTTATTCAGCACTAAATTTTATAATTTTTTGACATCTCCAAGTCCCAGAAACTTAAGTGGTTATGACTCTAAAGGCATTGCTATTTGCTGTTTCTGCCAGAATTTGCCCAGACTGATTCATAAGGACCAAGTAAGTAGTTTGTCAAGTTACTTCCTCACCAGTAAGCCATAAACAGTTGGTGCTGTATATATAAACTTATTACCCAGGATTTACTGCATCTGGAAAGTCTTTTCTTTTAATAAGTTCGCAGTGCTGATATTTCTCAGAAAATGATAAATATGCACTGGAAATTCAAACACATTGCTAAAAGATTTACAACAGTGATCAATATCCTTGATGACCATACAGAATAAGTCCCTTGGATTTTCCTTGCCAGAACTACTCTGAAGAAAGTTCCAGTGCCTGGCTTCCTGGAGAGTTAATGTATCAAACAATATTTGTGAAGTAACGCAAAACACTGTATTTCTAAAATTACTTTCTTATATGAATGGTAGCTCTTAAATTATTTTTGCTCCTTATTAAAGTTATCTTGACTTGTTGCCACAGTATACTCTTTAGCATGCAAACTGCAGGTTCAACCTAAGGTAAAGCTGTGCTGGGCAAAAGATGACCTCAGGCAAAGTCTAAGCACTGCAGTTTTTCTTTTTTCTTCTTTGAGTCTCCTGAAGTCCTACAAACAAGTGTTTAAAAATTAGGAGCTTACAGTTTAGCAGTTGATTTGGGGATTGGATTTTGGAGCTTGTCATGGACACCATGCAATCATAATCTTCTGATGGGACTACACTGAAGAATAGGCAGATGGTTTAGAGATTAGCAAATTCAATACAGTACTTGAAAGTATAATTCAAAAGACTTAGAGCCTTGTTTAGTAACCATTTAAATTTAAAGAGACAAGACCTAATTTGGCATTGTTCTTTTTCAGAAAGTGCACATTCTAAATCTTCTAGACAGCTATGCAGTTTGAACAAATCTGCCCAGAATGATTCAGATCTATCGCTATGAATAAGTATCCCCTTAAGTGACTTTGCCACTTTCTGGTTAGTTTTATTAGTCCTAGAACAAGTGCTGGGGCTTAATGCCTTTTTGAGTTTTTAATCTGGCAACAGTTTTAAAGAAACAGAAAGAGTACTAATAAGAGAACTCAGACAATCATTTTAAATCATTTGTTCTTCCAATAAAATTCCTATGCAGACAAGATTTTTAACTACCATCTTTTAGTCATAATTAATCTTGGTCAATAACACATAATTACATATTTTGTCTGAGTGCTCTGCTTTTGGATAAGGAATTCTGCATATGTATTCTTGTTCAATAGATAAGGAATTCTGCATATGTATTCTTGTTCAATAGAAATAATAGTGCAGACTGTTGGTATTTATTTAGTTATGGAATAAAACAGAGAATTTAGAACTCTTGTAAAATCTTTGTTCCAGTTGCAAAATATTTTTATTTCCAATACATCAAACCTATAGCAAGGTGCTTCTCTTACTCAGCTGTTCCACATCCCAGACTATGTCTGTCCTGCAAATATGGGAAATACTTCACTGTCTTTCAAATTTGGACACAATTAAGTAATCCATATGTAAAAATTATTATGGCCTCAAGATGCTCAGAATTAACTTGATACAGAAGAGGTGTTATATTTTTAAATCTATACAGTCCAGATTTTACCCTTTGAAAACAATCTATTAAGGCGGAAATTTGGGGATTTACATAGGGAAGTGTAAAGTGTTCCTTGCCCTGGTATTATCAAACAGTATTCAGCAATCATTAATTTAGGAACTTCTTAAGCCAGGACTTAACTAAAAAACTAATTTAGATAAATATGTTCTTCTGATCACTTCTGGAAGCTGTTTATACTTTTGGCCTTTCCAGTATTTTATGGCAATAAAATCTTCATGTTTTAGAATAGTGAAAAGTATCAATTTTTGTTTGCTTTGAATTTGGTGATTATTTTACTGGGTTTATTGCCATATGACACATTGAGAAATTGAGGAAAAGGTTTACTTCCTTTTGATCTTTACAGATTTGTATACTTATATATTGTTCCCTACAATATCCCTTTTCCAGTGTGAAGAGTTCTGTTCTACAGAAGCTGTTTTTGTGTGGCAGCATTTCATAGAATTTGTGATCCTTGGTTGCCTTCTTGACATCTCTCTTCTCCCTAATATATCTTTTGAGGTGGACAGAGGAGAAATTTTGAAGCATTCAGGACAGAAGGTCATGATCTACTTGTATGGTAGTCCATTTTTTTTATGTATTCCTTTGCATTCTCCTATCTTTATTGATTACAGAGCATACTTCCAGAGAACCATCCATAATTAATCTAGCCTCTCTTTCCTACATGGAAATCATTAATTTGGAGCTCATCAGTAGGAACGCATGGTAAGGATTATTTGGCATTTGACTGACACTGAATTTCATCAAACATTTTATTGCTTGATAGCTCAGTATTTTGTGATTTTTCTGCTCCTCCTTGCAGCCAGCTTTATATACAACCACCCTAAATAATCTTACACAAGAAGCAAAATTTTATTGCTATATATTCTTTTCTAGGTCATTAATGTTGAACTACAAAGATTCAGTGCAGATCTATGGGGGAACTCACCAGCAATCACCTCGCACTTTGAAAAACCATTATTTATTCCTAACACTAAATAACTTTAAAACAAAAGGCCTATAAAAGGACTGCCTCTCACTTCATCAAGACTAGTATCTTTAAAAAGTCTTTGACAAAAGATCATGTTGAAAAGTTTTTGAAACTCCAAAAAAATTATTTTAATTAATTTAATTATATACTACAGTTAAAATTAATATTTATTTAAGTTAATTAGATTGCCTTTGTCCACATGCTCATCAGCTTTTTCAGAGAGCTTCAGTAGATCTGAGAGATGTTATTTCAGAAAAAATAATATTAATCCATATCTCTTAATCATAAAAATTCTCATCATTTCTACCAGTTCGGCTGGTACAGAGTTAAGGTTTACAGGGATAAAGTTCATTGTCAATGTCATCCAACATCATACCTGGAGTTTGTTTTTCTTTTTTAATTCAAGTTATACTTGCTGGACACGGTACACATTTCCACTGATAAGAAAAAAAAAAACCCTGACACAGGTGATAGCTGACTCACAGTGATTCATATTTCCACAATTTTGCAAAGATTTTTATAGTGTCTGGCTTGATATCACCTCAGCCTGTCAGTTTGTTCCTGTTCACTTAGTCTGAAATGTCTACTACAGTCCTCATGCAAATCTTCCATCAGAATGGCTCCAGTATTTGACACAACTAGCAATTGGAGACAAATGTTGTTACAGAGACTTCATTTAGTTTTTCTGCTCTGACCTTCTTCACTTTCATGGATACTTTCATATCTTAATCATCTTCTCTTGACTTCACCTTCCAGATCATGACAGGATTCTATTTTTAATGCCTTGCAGATAGCTTTTTGTTAGCTTTTCTGTCTCTAGTGAGTTTCACTCTATTTCCACCCCCCATCTTTAATATATGTTCAACAGCTTCATTTATGCTTCTTCTTAACCATATTTTGGGAAGTACATTTTTACTCTCAGCACAGTATCTTTAAGTAATCTCTAAACCATTTGCAAGCTGCTTTTAGCTTCTCCTTTTATGCTCTTTTTAACTAGCTGTTAACTATATTTTTGTAATGCTGCTTTTGAAATTAAGCATCAACGTAGTAGTGATTTAGGGCTCTTTCTTTATAAAAGCAACTATGTTTGTTGATACAACAAACTTACACTACTCAAGCATAGTACTATTTTAAACAGGATAGTATCACACCAAATTGAAATTATGACAAGTACTACAACATGAAAGTGTTTGAAAGGAAAGCTGCCCTACAAACAAATTTTCTAACATAGCCAGGAAGTACAATTTTCTCCCTGACAGTTTTTAGTGACTCTGCCTTTGTTCGCCTCCCCTGCTTTCTTTTTTTTCCTTTGATCCTTTTCAGGAGTTCTCAATATCAAGCTTTTACTGGATTCTAAGTAGTATTGGATATGCTCCACAGCTCTAAATAATTAACCTAGTATCAAAGCGAAAACAGTGTCAAAGTGACTGCAGAATGATACCTCCCTACCTGAGAATTCTGCTCCATAGGTGTAGTCTTGTGTATTACAATGACTGAAGTACATGTAGTGATGTTTTGTTGCAATTGCCATACAGTACTTCAAAACAATTATTGCCTTGAGGAAAGGAAGCTGGATGCTCCAAGTTGTGTCCTGTTGGCAGAATTTTTAATGGATGTTCTGATTCTTCAAGTATTTAATATCAAGTTCATTGTCATATTATATTTTGCTAGTTGCAAACCACCAGCAGTGGCAGAGCAGCTTGTTACTTCAGTGACACTAAAAAAGAAATATTACATAAGGGTTTGTAAGACTAGTTCTCAAATTCCAGATATAGATCTTTCATTATTAGTGACTGCTTACACCTGCAAAAAGAAATCAGGTTCTCCAATGCTGAACTGGATTATTGGTATAAGAATATCAAGGTGCAGGAGGGTGACAGAAAAACATTGTGATGGAAAAACCTTGTTTCTGCTGTACACAGACTGAAATTGATAAGAAATAATGGAGACATTAGCATGCTCTACCACAATGCCATTTTTACAGAGACTTGCAGAGAAATAATTTTCAAACTTTTCCATGAAGAGACAATTCATTGTTCAGTTACCATAATGGCTGCTCTGCCACTACTGATGTCTCACAAATGCAAGATAAGACAGAACAACAGTTGACTGAAGACCCATGGTAACAGAAAATTCAGTTTAAATGGATTCTTAACTATTTTGTGGATTTAAGAGAAATTAAAATAGAACCTAAGTCATTCTTTCTTATCCACATTTGTTCCTGTAAGCAGTAGAGATAAGAGCAGCAATAATGTATTTCTGTTACCACTGATGACAGATAACATTAAAGATAGCAGCTGCCTTGAGTGAAAAAGGTCACTTTTTCCCCTAATTGTTGTAAGAAGTGACATACATTGTTGTAAGAAGTAACATACATACAGTGACACACATGTATTTTTTACTAAATATTTCAAACGGGATGTTGATTTTTTTGCATAGAATCATCTGTGCAAGTTTATAATTAACTTTTTCTTTTTTTTTTTATTGCTAGAACTGGCCAGTCAAGTAGTGTACCTTTGAGAAAAATCAAAAGGAAAATTATTAGAAACCATTCAATTTAATTTTGCATTAAATGAGTTATGAATGTAGCATTATTTCTTCCTAAGTCAATAAACATTGTTTCATAATGGTTTATATTTTACAGTCACTCAATAAGCAATGATTCTGGAACAGAGACTGGTGGTTTTTTTCTTTTGCAGGCCCTCCAGTTAATGTCACATGCAACATATTTATAAACAGCTTTGGATCCATTGCAGAGACAACCATGGTAAGATATTTTACCTCAAACAATGTTTAAAGTTCAAGTTAAATATGTTCAATGAGCTCAAAAGCTAGCTAGAGCTTCTATTCACCTGGAACTAAATGAAGAAGGAAATCCACTTCTGAGAACACAGGGTGAGAACATTTAATTTGGCAATTGATTTTCTCTAACAGAAAATCCATTGTAGTACCATAAAACACACAAGTAAAAATAAAGTCAAGGGTTGGTTTTTTTATTTCTCCATAAGTTTTATTTGACAGTTGTAATGAACTCATTATTTTCAATTAAATAGGTATTAATTTCTATAGTGTTCCACCTTTCTAACCTCAAAAATGTCAAACCATTAAGTTGCTTTTTAATAATATTTTATAATTTCATTATATACAGTGCATATAGGGGTATATACTTTTTTAAAAGTCCTTCTTCCATAGAGCTATTGCACAGAGATAATACAATAACTAAAACGGTGATCTGGTATATAAAATTTCATTATGAATTCTAAAAGTGGGGTAAATATAAGAGGATTGCACACTTTTTGTACATATACTTACAATTTGTCTATTAAAAAAAGGCAGAAGATAGAGTACAAAAAGACTGGAAATTTTAAGGAAATAAGGGGAAAGAGAGGTCAAAGTCTAAAGACAGTAAAACTAGATATTGAACTAACAAAAATAACTTGGATAATCTTTAACAGGTGAAACATATATGCTAATAACTTAAAGCACGGTTTTACTCATTAAAATTTGGTGAGAGAGGAGATATAGGCATTCTTTCTCCATACAAATGCCTCACATATTTTGAAGAAAGGCAAATAAACATCTTTGAAAACAGTTACATAGTAATTTGGGGACAGAGAGGATTAAAATATAGAGAAATGAAGGAAGGACTATGGGAGTTTGTAAGATCCAAATATAGCAAATATTCTGAAATCCCAACAATTTCAGGGGTCAGGATACGTACTTGGAATGATAGAACAGAGATTGAAAATAACTGGTATAGCCGGGAAAAAAAAAAAAAGAAGAAGAAGAAGAAGAAAAAGGAATAATACTAAGCAAAAGCCATCCTTCTGAACTACCAGTAAGAGCAAAAATGAGACTTTTGAATGCGGCCGAGGACCTGTAGTTAGGAGATCAATAGCATAAATTCATAAAGTCAAATATTTATGCCTGCTATCTCCAAAGTGATATTCACAGCTGCCTGATCTTTACCCGTCTTGGAACATAGTGGTAGATGTTACCGAGAGAGACTGTTACTGAGATGATTTTTTTCAGGTAGAAAAGTAATTTAATTTGTATTTGGGTGCCTTGCCAGACTGCAAATCCCAAACAGATTGACATGGCATCCAAGGAGATTTATTCAGGTTTGATCAGAGGATTAAGCAATGCCCACATGATTAGAATAGCACTCCACAGCTACTTTTAACAGCTGTATGGGTGAATCTGGTGCAAAGCAGGAGACAGACCACAGAGTCAGTAAAGTGAAAAGATCCAGAAATTAGATCACTATAAAAAGGATATTTAGAAAACTGAAGTTGCTACCACTTAAAAAATTGTCCTGAATTTGGGAAGAGAATGCTTGAGTTCACATCTCAAGGGTATTTTCTCTCCAAAAAAAAGAGAATTATAAACCTTTCCTTTCAGTACAACTCAGTAAGTTAGTACAATACTTCTATCTTACAATTACATTCAGTTCTGTGTTGCCTTGAAAGCCAGTTAAAACAGTTGAGATAGACTCCAACCTGATCTGTAACAAACAGTTCCAGGTAGTATGTTACAGAAAATACCAAACCTGGTCAGAACCACAGGGTTTTTCATTCTATCGATCATATGCATTCAAAAACTGGACAATTAAGCACAACCTTGACCTTAGAACAAATGCTGCCTTCATGATGCTGGTATTCTGTTTATAATGTATTCACTGATACAGTTCAAAACAGACTTTTGCTTATGGTCAGCAGCTGTTGACCTCTCAGAGACTCAAATCTTCCTTTGCAGAAGAACAAATGCTTTTGTGTAGATAGGACTTTCATTTGAATATATTATTAGCTTTACTTATCTCCATAAACATCTGAAAAACATGAAAATCTTTCTATCTTAAAATTGCAATTAAAAGCATCTTGCATTATTTTACAAACTGAATTTCTGCATTGTTGAACAAAAGTCAATTCACTGCAGTTCAGTGTTTTACCAATTATCACTATTTTACCAATTTTATTTACTGTAGTCCTTAAAATGCAGGTACCTATCTCTTAATATTTATTCTAAATCTTTACACATAGAAGGACTTATTAGAACAATTTATTAGACTCAAAAAGGACTTTATATTCTTGATAAATACTTTTTTCTAAACTGTAAAAGAAAAGAGCTTAAATAAGCAACAAGTGCAAAATAAAACCCGGCCACTAAGAGGTACCTTGAAGTCTCGCTGGTATTTAAAACTACCAGCTGAATAATGGGATATCCATATAATCTATTAGCTTTAAAGAAATCCGAATACATCGACCCACGTCCTTCACTGTCGTTGTAACTGTTCTTGGCACAGTCAGTCTCTCTCTTTTTCTCCCTCTCTGGTTCTGTAGTTCTCTCGCTGATAACCAAAATCTTTGAGCCCCCTCTGCTGCCTCGGTTATGTATAACACAGTAAACACTTACAGAAGAACAATGGGTTAAAAAAAAACGAGACTGGCTGCAAAATAGCCCGGTGCCAACTTTACATTACTGGACTTCATGGTTGTCAATGAGGAAGAGGAGTTTGTCAGTGTGCAATGGGAACTTACAGTGCGCAGCTTTTTTGGAATCGGCTTTCAGGGAAGCAGATTCTCTTAAGCTCATCCAGGCCTGTTTACTGTTGTACAGTGGGGTCTAACATGTCAGGAGAGACAGCCAAACCAAAAAAATAGCTTAATTCGACTTCCAGCTTGTCAACTCTTTAAAATGGTTCGTTCTTTCTTTCTTTTTTCTTGTTTTTTACATTGCTTTCAACTTCTTTGGAGTATGGGTTACTGTTTTTTCATATTCCCTTTCTTTGTCTCAAAAGACAAATCAGATGGTTTATAGTGGACAAAAGGCATGCCACCTCTTGCTAGGAAGCTGTGATTCTAGTTGAACCTAGGTAACTTTAAGTGATCTTATGAGGAACTTAATTTATGTCACGTATGCTCTGAGGAGGCAGGAAAAAAGTAAATCACATAATTAAAAACTCCCTTAAACAAACTTTCATCATCGGCACTACTTAAGGTCCAGCCTTGCCAATCTTTCTATGTTATTGAGCCGAATGGTAGTACCACATCTGCATATGTCTCGATGATACTCACAAAGGGAGGATTTCACACTCAATTCTCTAGCCAAGTAAAACTCTTCCTGCTTTGCACACATAAAGGAAAACCTAGGTCCAATCTTTAATTTTTTACATGTTGCCACTATTCTTTTTTTCACGTAAGGATTTAGAAATCTTAAAGAATAGCAGGAGATTAAAAAATGTGGAAGCCCAGAATAAAATTACTAGTTCATGATACGAAATTAACATACATAACATAATTAACATACATAAACGTCTGAAGTTTTTTATTTAAGATAAATAACGATGTACCTAAACACACTTAAACTTAAAAATCTGAGAAATCGATCGGATTGCTTGGTCATGTAAAGTTAAGCGTATATTGGCAATATGGGAACCATATCCTACAGGAAACCAAATCATTTTCTTATTGGTGCACTGGAACTGAAATTTCAGGTTTTATCACAACATCCTCAAAAGTTCCTTACAGAGTTTCTCTTTGTAGCTCAAGCTGTGCTCAGCTTGTATTTGCACTGTATCTCCTAATGCTAAGAGATTTCCTGATTGTTAAGAGCAGTGTCATATATATTGTTGGCAGTTACCAACCAAAAAAAAGAAGAGATTGTTCAGTCTTAAGGGTGAGAATAACATCAATGCCAACATTTTCATCTACACATGTTCACGGACAAAATACTGAATACATGAAGCAAAGGCTACAGAACAGTTAGGCTATGGGGCAGATACCAAAAAGCCTCCTTTTATTCTAGTAAATATGACTGACCAACTTCCTCAAGGTTTTCTGAGTTTTAAAGGTCAGGAACAACACTTTGATCTTAATGCAGATTTACAGCAATATTTACTAAGTATATATGAATATGCTTAGCGTAATGCATGTGCTAAAAGTGCGTTGAGATGAGCACTCACTGAGAGACCTAATGGCAAATGACAACAGCACAGACAATTAACACATTAGAAAGCCTATGTCTGTTATTTGTTCCTGCCACATTTTTGCTGATGGGTATTTCTTGACTCGGTTGAAAAGAACTGCGTTATCCTGAATGTTAGGAAGCAGGTGATAGATCTTTCTGTGCTCCCAGCACTAAGGAGATTATCTTACATTTACAAATAAAATGTGCTTTTAAACTACATTGACCCATTTTTAAGCCATCATAATTACTCTCCTTTCATGAGTCACAGCTCTTTAATTTCATTAGCTTCATCTTTCTTCAAGTGAACATTTCTGTTTATGTCCTATTCTACCTATTCTAGGTTGTCTTAAATAGAGTACTTGAAAGGAATGTTCACTTCTATACATTGCAAAGCTTAATGCTGAAGAGTTTCACCAAACATTTTTCCTAAATGAATCATTTAGCTGATTGTCTCAAATACAAGGAAATATATGCCTTCCTTTGGTGAAAATATGCTGAAAAATTCTGTGTAATGGATATAGCAATGTGTTAATACTGAAGTGATGGGCCGAAATATCTACATTGCACAATTTTTGTCTCAGATGAGTGAACACGTACTTTGCAGTTTCAAAATTACAAAAAAACATTCAACTTTTTCCCTTATTTGACAATTAACTCCCTTCCGTCAAGGCACAGAGAAGTCAACAGATTGTTCTTGTGTGAGTTTGGAAGGCGGATTATTTAACATTCTTTATTTTATCATAAACTTGCCTCTGCCACCCTGAGCCTGGGTCACGGAGTCAGGAGTAGACGGAGGTTTTT